CTATTCTCCACTTGTATTTCATTGAGCGCATACCTTACACTTTTAGCAGCTTTATGCTGAATTTAAACAGTGGAATGAGTAGATGGGGACTATCTGAAACGTGTGGCCTATTGATGCATTCCTTTTGAACAATCTGATGATATATGAAACTGTTGAATAATTTATACTAAAACTGAGAAAAACAAGATATTCAGCGAAAAGAGATTGGTTTGAAAGAATTTGTTTTCAAGCTATACATTCGTGTATATATGATAGACGGGGAATGTTTTCTACACACTATTATTATTTATTATTTGTCCCTTGGGTTCCTAATGGAACATAGGGCTTTAGTAGCACGTCTCCAGTACACTCTCTTCTCTGCGAACTTTTGAACCTGGTTCCACGACAGCCCAGAAACTCTCATTTCTTTCTCACACGATCTCCTCCATATCACCCTCACCTTGGACACCCAACCGGTCGTTTCCCATCTGGGTTCCACTCGACGACCTAGCCTGGAGCGTGATGTCCCCGAGTGGACTTCTCAATGCATGCCCAATCTATCTCCACTTCCTTCTGTATATTTCTTGAGCGATAGATTAGTGGTTGGTTCGTTGCCCGACCAGAGTTCCTTGTTGCTTATTCTCATTATTCTGGTCATCTGAGCTTCAGTAACGAGCCAGCGTAGGCAGTTGATGAATATCTGTAGTTTGCTGGAAATACTTCTCGTAACGAGCCGAGTCTCTGAGCAATACAGAAGCACTGATTCGACGTTGGTGTGAAAATCCGGATCTTGTTCCACTTGCTGAGTGCAGTGCAGTAGATCTCCACACTGGTTTCAGGCTAATGAACGCCTGTCTTTCCGATCCTGACTTTGACGTCCTCGTCTGTGCGGCCTGTGGTTGAAACAGTGCTGCCTAGATAAGTGAAAGAGACTACTTTCGTTGAGTTTCTCCCGTTGATGGTGATTGGAGCTTGTTGTTGTTGGTGGTGGTGTTGGTTGGGTATCTTCATCACCTCTGTCTTCTCTACGTTCACTTGAAGTGCCGTCTTTGCTGCCCTACCTCTTCTGTCAACTTGTTAGTTTTCACCTGTGGATCTTCAAGTTTGAGTGATATTAAACATAAGTCATCGGCAAAATCCAAATCTTCTAGTTTCTTTTCTCCGGTCCAGTGTATTCCCCTCTTCTCGCTCCTCACAGTTTGTTGCATGATCCAGTCCACTACAATCAGGAATATCACAGATGATAGTAGACAGCCTTGTTTTACTCCTGTCTTCACTTCAAAGGCGTCACTAAGCTTTTCATTGTGAATTACTTGGCATGTAGCATCTTCATATAGTTGTTGGATGAGATTGATAAAGGTTTGTGGTATTCCGTAGTGTTGAAGCAGTTGCCTGGCAAATTACTTCTCGGTTGACGCTGTCGAAGGCCTTTTAAAAGTCGATGAAGTTGAGGTAGAGGGTTGGCTGCCATTCTATACTGTGTTCTATGATGATGCGTAGTGTGGCGTTGCAATTTGGTCCGTACATGATTTGTACTTCCTGAATCCAGACTGCCTGTTCAGGTAGCAGTTTTGAATTCAGTGCATCGTTTAGTCTCCCCAGGATGATGCGGCCTAATATTTTCCTTGCTTTTGGTGGACAAAAGCGTGATTCTTTGCCAGTTCTTGCAAAGACTTAGGTCGCCCTTGTTTTGGAGTTTGACAAGGTAGCCCTTCTTCCAATCAATGTGCAGGTACCTTTCCTTCCTTCCAGACCTTCTGGAGTAGTGGTGTGAGAATGTCTGCTGTTGTCTATGGGTCTGCTCTGAGTGCTTCTGGCGGGATTCCATCTGGTCCTGCTGCTTTCCCGTATTTCAGTAGCTTTATGGAGCTTAGGACTTCTACTTTTGTTGGAGGATTTATCTTCACTTGTAGTTCTGTGACTGCAGGTGGTATTACTGTACGAAGTGCAGGTGGTGGTCGATTCAAGAGTTTTTTGAAGTGGTCAGCCCATCGTTTCCTTTGTTTCTCTTCTTTGATGATTAGATTTCCTTCTCCATCTTCTATTGGTTTCATCTGCGTTGATCTCTTCCCTCGCAGATAGTAAACTGGTTATTTGATACAATATTGTCAGGTCTCTGTCTCTGTTGCCTGCAGTCTGTTCTGCTTCACTTGACAATGTGTCGTAGAAGTGTCTTTTGTCTTTGCGTGCACTCTTCTTCACTTCTTTGTCCAGTGTAGTGTTCTATACATTGTACTCAGTTCCTCTTTTCGTTGTGCATCCTTGCACTGCACTGGTTTATCTTCTGCTTCACCATCCTCATCTCCCTGCTCTATCAGCTTCAATGTATCCATCGAGATCCATTCCTTATCTTCTTTCTTCTTCCTTCTTGATAGGGTTATTCAGGTTTCTTTCCACATCTCTTTCAAAGAGTTCCAGTGTTCTTCCACGCAGGCTTCTTCAGGGATGTTGCTGGATATCTCCCATTTTGTTTTGATGGTTGCCGTGAAGATGTTCCTTGTAGTTTCATCCTTCAGTTTCTGTTCTGAGTGTTGAACTTGAACTGTGGTCTATCGCCAGCTTCCTTGAAGGCTTTCAACTTGATTTTGAAGATTCCTTGCACTAGATAGTGAGTGGTGTGATTCTACATCTGCTCCTCTTCTTGACCTTGTGTCAAGTAGACTGGCTACGTCTCCAATTTCTTCACATTGGGATGAAGTCGCTCTGATTTTTAGTGTGTCCATCTGGTGAAATCAACTCCATGTCGCTTTGTGGATATCCTTGTGCCTGAACAGAGGGCATCCAGTCACCAAATTGTTGAATGCGCAGAATTCTGCAAACAAATTTCCATTCTCGTTCATCACCTCACCGAGCGCTTCCCGGTCCATGGTTAGTTCTCTTCCTGTGTTGCCCGCTCCCAGTATGGCATTCATGTTGCCCATTAGAATTTTGATATCGCCAACTGGAGTGGTATCTTGTCCAGTGTTGATTGCAGTTGTCTGTAGAATTCCTCCTTCTTTTCTTCATCTGCATTATTTGTAAATGCGTAGCGTAGCATTGAATGATTGTGACTTTCCCTCCTTTTGAGTTGAATCTTGCTGTCATGATCCTGATACTGGAGGAGATTTGTTCCCACTGCATGAGAGACAGCTTTTGATGCTCTTGGGGACATCATGATAGCCACTCGAAAACTCAGTGTGTTCGTGGTTGTCGTCTGTTTGACAATATCGGAGTGGATTATTGACTCTGCAGTTGACAGTTTGGAGAATCTACTTCCATTCTATCTGCTTTCGCAGATTCCAGGCACTTCCATGCCATACCTTCTCATCTCGTTTGCAAACCGGGGTGCCTTGCTGGGTTCAAACATGGTGCGGACATTCCATGTCCCCATGTTTACTTTCACTTTCATCGAGATAAGAGAAGACACATCGGCCAATTGGCTTCCCGATGGCTTTCACCAACCGGCATCATTTCGTCTCTCCGATTGCAGCGAGGAATAATTTTGTTTTTATTTTTTATATTTTGTTTGTGCTTTGAAGTTTCTTTAGCGGTTGGATTTGTTTTACGGGGTAGGGTTGCTAGCCCTATACCCAACCTTCGCTTTTTACCCGGGCTTAGGACCGGCTAGTAACTAGTGAACTATTTATTCAGGAGAGGTTTTCTACACATATACAAGAACATATTCCAGGTAGGTTTTATAAAGGGGTAAGTTTGTTAGAAGTTCTATTTTATAACCTTTGATTGATTTCTATCACTCAGATAATAATGTTAAAATTGTTTATCGAATTCTCCCGAAACCTACTACTTTTTTTTCGTTTTCAACTCCTCAAAACAGCGGAGGCTTGAGTTATTCATGAACTAAAACCTTATTTATGTTTTCACTATGGCCATGACATTTTCCCCTCCCTCTTTGTTAAGTTAATTTTTGTATCCTTCATTTACCACTCTTATTGTTATGATAATCACCTTCACTTTGATTAGTTTCCGGTGTTATTTCACTTAATCGTTTTAATCTTTTCAGAAAACACTGATTTCATCTTGACCAACTTGTCTATTCCTATTACATAATATTTAGTTGACTTACCACTTTCATCAGTTTTTTCATTCCTTTCTCAGTTATATACCTTCTATCAACCATTCCATATATTGAGCAATCTACTTTGTTATCACTCATACTTTAACTGGTATCATAATCACGAATACCCATGTCATCATCTGTTTCATTATTATTGTCATCATCATGGTGGTGTTCAGTTTTCCTCAGGGGATACAATTTTTCAAATATCATATATATACAAATGTACAGCTTGAAAATAAATTCGTTGGAACGAGTCTCTTCGCTGTATATCTTGTTCTTGATGTTACAGTGAAAATCACTAAATAATAAGAACTGAGAAGGATTAATTAAGCCAATGAAATTATAATTAAGAAATTAAGGCAAAAGAGAAACAAGAGAGGAGAAATTAGGTCAGATGACCACCACAATTGGTATAAATACTAGCAGAGTAACCTTCGTATTAGTACAAATTGCTTTTGAATATACAAAGGGTGTTTAAATTTATGGATAGCAAGGGTGAATGTGCTCTTCATGATGATGAGGAAGGATGTTCGTCATCTACGTTATAAGAAGTCATTTGTTCCTGAGGCCACCTAGGCATATATTCAGTCATCCTCAGCTGAGTGTTACACTTACTCTTCCTTGAGTATATGTGTCCACATGTAGATGTACACTGATAAACACTATGAGGGTCCGATGCACTCATACATACGCAGCTTAAGTTTGTGTTGAAGCATAAGCTTTGCCTTCTCCAGTTAAACTGCCTTGGCCTCATAGAGTGTTATGTTATAAACGGACCTGAGTCTTTTACTCAAAATTATGTCTAACATAATCCCAGTGCTGTACCTATCTTACATCTATTCGTACATTTTAAAGGTTATCCATTTTGCACCAATATGTAGCACTATAACATGACACATGTTTCAGATTTTGTCTGCATCTTCTCACTAAACAGTTCAAATTTAGCAATGGGGACCAATTGTTTAAAAATTTATATTACTGAGTCTACAAATCCTTAATTTATCAAAATGCCCAGAATCATGCTATGTTTATAAAAGATTCGGCAATCATAATCGTATAACAGATAGAAAGAACGCTGTATACTTCGGAAAACAGTAGATGGTTGCACAGATTGGCTACATATAATTAATTATTGCAAATGGAAAAGATATACACACTGAATATAAGAGATAGATATAGTTTATTGCGTCATCGACACCCTCCTTGTTGTCGATGAGAACATGATCAGAAGTGAATAGTATAGCAATAACAACAAAATATGAAACACACTTAAAAGGAAAAGCCAATGCTTGCTCCTTGAAGCTTGTTTTTCGCTAGACACTAAGAAACTGACCAGTAAAGGTATCACCTGAAATAAAAAATGAATGTTTTGGATAAGTAACCATTGACAGAAATGGCAGATCTGCGTCTATCAATTCATAGACATATAATCTAGGCCGTGTTCATGGCAAACTGACATCCGTTTCAGATACACTGAAAATCTGGAGGCACACGACAGTTATTTCATCATAATAAGCGGTTTTTCAGCAGTATGTATTCCCGACCCCAACCATGAGGAATCGAATTCAGGACCTTCAAGTCTCACAGCTAACGCGTTAATCATCCCGTTGTTGGCTTAGAATCCAGTCGTCCAAGGTTTCCTACTTCTGTCAATTCTCGATTTTCAGTTGACACCGACATCACTTCCAACATTGCTGACTGCACATGTCAAGGCTTATCATTAGATCTTTGTGATATTCACGTCAAACTGTGTCAGTAATGAGCTCTATACACTAATGTTGTTTGAGGCTTAAAAGAATTTTATTATTGTGTGGTATTCATCTTTGGCTAACTACAATCTTAAGCATACATATGATCATTTTACTATCATGAGGATTTGAAGAAGTATGAGTTCGTGTAATGCACCCGCATAAAAATGAATAATCTTACAACCGGCATCTGTTGGCACGTACAAGGTGGAAGGCTAAATATTCTCAGCAGATATGTTGTGGTCGAGTTACAGTGGACCTATTGTTCAAATAGTAGTGTGCTTCAGCTTCTCACACATACCCAAAGATAAGGTGATTTAGTGGTCAAAATATGCTACATCGGTTTGTGAACGGGAAGAAATTAATCAAACCACCCCAACCGCCAGTAGTTTCAGGTTTCGTAACTTGAAAAGAAGTCCTGTTATACATAAAATCTGTAATTCAGAGATATGTTACCAGAAATTCATGTCCCTTGATAAATAAACAGTATTTTGAAACATTATTTTCATGAAGGAAGTTACTGGAGAATGAATTTTTAGGAATGTGAACAGTTAGCATGGGTGAATATTAGACAAATAGATGAAAAGGTGTTTCATTTCAGAGAACAAGTTTTTAATACAATTCTAATCATCACCAGTTCTTAAACTGGTAAGATATAGCATACCATTTCCATCCTATAATGTTCGAAATGTGTCAAAGTTTTACCAGGATGATGTGAATTCCGCCGACAGTTGTGCAACACCAGTAATGCTTTGGTGGGCCACAGGCTTACTTTACTAACACTAAGATTACAAGTTATTCTCAAGTTTACGGCCCTTACTTTATTACCGATTCCTTGTTGCTGACTATCAATGGAACGTAGGATGTGCAATGTTTCCTTATTAATACTCATCAGTTGTCTGTACCTTCAGTCTATTAAGTCATGGTATTTCCCAAGATCTCCAATCGATAAAACTCGACTAACTTTCGGTTATATTATCAAAATCGAAGTATATTTCTTATCACTTGAGTAGTTCAACATTTGCTATAAACAAAAGTTGAAATGATTTTAAAATCAACTCACTAGCAAAGATTCTAATGTTGTAAAGACGGCAAAAATTTGGTGAAGTACCTGCGAACAGAAAACAGCGAAGCTTAAGTGGAAATTCAGTTAGAAAACAAGTTTCTTTTAGTCAATGAAATAAAAATTTAACAGATCCTTTTTCACAAACGAATGAGATTAGGTTAGTAGTTGGCAGTTTGAAGGGATAATAATATCTCTGCTTAGTATCGCTGTTATAACGGTCAAAAAACGATTCCTGAAAATCGTCCAACAATTTCTTATGTTGTTATATACTACTGTACATCTTGAATAGCTAGGAGTCGCTCAAGTTGTTCAGTAGTAATATATTTTGCTAGTCCATGACACTTTTGTATCAGAGACAACACCTTTTGATCTTGGTTGATGGATAGTCTCCAGCGGAAACTCTGTTGTTTGGCACTACAGTTGGACAGTTGATAAACTACCACAAAGCTGTGAGAAACGTCAGTGTGGAGTGAGCAGTTTGTAAATCACTTCCAAAGTGAGCATTTTCTTATATTGGACATATGTGTACCGAGATGGTGGATGCATATATACGTTCACCCAACCGTTTACAATTCGGCTTTTAAGATAGTTTCAATGACAAATTGTTGACACACAGAAGTTAACTTGTAAATATAATTTAGTTGATTACATATGATCTGAAAAGTCATAACAGGGGGTTAGTAATGTTGTATTGCAGAATAAAAATTGTGTAAGATAGCAGTATAAAGACTAGAGTTTGTAGAAAATATGAACATTAGAATCAATACTTATACTTTAGTTTATCTCATCCTACGTCTGTTAAGAAAGGTTTAGTGAAAGGTATAAAGAATGGAGAAGTATAACAAACAGTTTACGGTAGGAAATGGAATATACTTCGGAAATCGTACTACTCAATAATTATTATTCTTATAGAGGGATCTGGAAATATCTAGAAAATCCTTAAAAAGGATGCATGACACGAACCGGATAGTATAAACAACTATAAGGGCAACATTAAGAAACAAGAAACCAAACTTCTGCGATGTTATCACATGCTTAAGTTGATTCATGAAGCATAGGCTGGATTGCAAACAAAGCTGGAATCCAGGGGGCACTTAAACTTACAAACTCGTCTAGAAACAAGCTTTGTGGGTTAAAAGATCCTTCAGAGCTCACTCATGAAAACAATTCATAATATCGAACTCCATACAGATTTCAGAATAGTCAACTGAAGCTAATCAGAACAATAAACAACAAAAGCTTGGTCAAGTAAGATAGGTAGATAGGTAGAAGCTCAATCAGTGCGATGCATACAATCACAAAATAGAAATGAACGAAAAGACAGTCTTAAAATCTATCCTTATGTGTGACCAGAGAGACTAATAACAATGGGAAATTACAAGGATCAAGAAGTTACAATAAGTAATGGCCGTTGCTCAACAGGTGGGTTTAATGCCACAGTTACCTAGTAGGAAATAACCTGTCGTTTGAAGTAATGGCTGAGGACTCCAAGTTTCCGTTGGAACAACATCGCTCACTGGTATGCAAGTGCATCCAGTTGACGAGTCTCAAATAGAACGAAACACGCCTCCAAAACTTCACTGGTAGCCACTACTAAGTGAATTAAAACACTACACTCATGCAATAAAAATCATTCCACACCTACTCTAGATATTTGGAAAACCCTACCCGTAATACGACAAATGACTAAGAAAGGGAAATACCACTCTATTAATAGAATGTTAAAGATGTTGAGTTACCGGTTTTATGAATCTAAACAAGAAATTGTACTCAAAGCGTCAGTCAGTAAAGAATACTGTTTCCTTGGGTGAAAAAATCATTCTTGGTATTGTTTATTACCATGATGCCCTAGTTCTAAAATTACAAAAATATTAAAAGGATTTGTGCACGTTTTTCAATATCATTTTCATATTATTTTACTGAATCCTACATTCGTTGAATGCTTTCTCTACACTAAATTTATCTTTGTTTCAATAACATACCCTACTAAATCAGTTGGTTAGCCAAGCGAGAATAAAAACAGTAAGTCATTATTCCAAATAAAATTTCTAAATATATTACTTACAGTTAAATGTTGGAAAACAATTGCAAGAATAGAGAACGTTATCGCCAATACTGTTACAACCCAGACTATAATCAGTATTATTGTACACGCGATAGAAGCCAGTGGCATAAATTGAACTGAAAAAATCACCGTCAAGAATTCCATAAGAATTGCTGTACAAAATAATATTATGCACCACAGAGTTTGAAAATATACTGAGCCTATGCCAAATACTAATGACGTTAGAATATTCTGGAATCATAAGAAGAAATGAAGCACATTAAATCAGATGAACATTTGCATGAGTTGATTTCAATGTATCGTTGAACAGCATGAAACAGCTCACAAAAGACACTTGTAAGGATTGGAGATCTTGACAAAACCTAGTTCATCTGCTATTTACTCGCAATACTACCGAATATGGTGTATTTCCCATCATTTAAACATTAAATTTTAAACTTTTGAAACTCCAGAACTAAATTGCTACATCTACGGTGCGCCGTACAAATCTCTCAGTTTAGTCAACCTTCCATATCTCTAATTCCTTCCTCGAAATCAACTAACAATTAAAATCGTCATCAGTAGGGAAACATTTTCATTTATATTTACATTATAACTTACAGTTTTTTTAGTATATTTGATATATATTTGTCAACGGATTTCGTTTTACCTGGATTGTTTACCCCAGTTCTATGTACACTTGTCACAAATTCATAACATTGAAATGAACATCCCGACATTTAAAGATTGAACCGTAGTTTTGCTCTGCACAAAGCAGAAGTTCATATGCGATGAGACAAGTGAGTACAACACTAACCGGAATGAGTTTTTGAACGGACTCAAGAACTGTCTTATCCTTGACTTTCTATAAAAAATGTACTGGGAAAGCCCTGAGCTGCCATTTTAATGCCTGATGCCACAAATATATCCGAAACGAGAGCATAAGAAGCTTCTATGGATTAATTCAAGATTATAAGTTTATTGCTTTGATAGAACCAATAACTTTATACATGTCAATTATTATTATATTATATTCCAAAATACTTCGCATGTTACTCCATTTCAGCTAACATCTGACCAAACAGCTACACCTAGGCTACAAATGGGATAACGATAATCTAGTATTCCTTTATCTGACGAGTAACCGTGATTGATGCTGCAGCTTGAATAACACTATAGCGTTTGAAGCGATGACTACTAAGTTCGAGCCTCGAGGGAATAAAATCACTCCCCAGAAGTCAGATAAATTCAGCTGACCCGTTCTAATTACGACAAAACACACCTTAGTTGCACTACTAATCATTATCTGTTATTAGAAATCATCAGATATTAAATATTTACAAATTATGAAATTGTGAAGGTAAGAATTCTTACCGCGATAACTGCCAATATACTATCTACCACCAATAAGTTCAAGTAGAAGTTGAGAATACTCCAGATAAGATACACAAGTATGAGAAGAGCACTTTAAATGAATCGTTAGTATTAAATATATTCTCTACATCACAACAATTGAAAACCACCAGCTACTACTGAGCCAACGTCTACTTTCTACTCTACAATGAATAATGAAACTTACTTCTTTATGAAGAACACTCACCCACATGAGAACGATAAAATGAATGTAAATGAAATCAATAGTTGTATTGTTGTAATTATCAGTCCCTTGATTCAAAGTCAAACAGTTGAAATACACAAAAGTAAACTTACTATGATGAAGATACGCACATTACTTGGAGAACTCAAAATCACACCTTTCTTCATAATCATCCTTAAGGAATCTTCTGAAGTATTTGTCACTTGTTTGGATAGACCGTTAAGTCTACCTCAGTTTGTAAGGTTCTAGATTACTTCTAGTTTGAAAATCTCTCCATTTATATATATGTACAGAAAATCCAAGCCTCTGAATATATTATCACTGTATTATTATTATTATTATTATTATTATTATTATTATTATTATTATTATGCCACGGCAGTTTCGATTGCAAGGAATAAAAATTACATTTTCGATCAAAGTTCAATACATTCAATAAACAATACACATGATTACGTGTGTGCGTGACAAAGGCTACTTAAAACAAATACAAACAAAGAAACAAACACTTTATGCATTCAACTGTTATACGCAATCATTATCATATGCACTCCATTTTTCGTAATTACAATCTTTTTTGGCTAATTCAGATAGCCGTGGTTAATTAGGTAGACTTGTATTGATACTGGCTAATGGTTGTAGGTGAAATGAAGATTTGGACTCGAGCCAGCGACCACCTGGGCTTCCGACCTGGTGATTGAAGTGAAATAAAATCTGGTCAGTGATCAGGCCTCGCAGCTGAGTTGGTAGAACACCAGGCTGGAAACGCAGTGGCGGCTGCTTCGAATCCCGCCGGGGTCCAAATTTTCATTCCACCTTCATTCATCACCCGGTATCAATACAAATCTGCCAAACCTCGGCTATCTCAGATGGTCAGAATGATAGTCAAAGAACAGTTTCTCGAATGATTTTCGAAATGCAGTTTAAGATAGTAAAATGTTTTGAATTAATCTAGTATTTATGGAGGTATTCATCTTGAAATGATATCCTTTATAGAATGTGAGAGCACTGGACAGTTGCTTCATCCTACTACACCTCATCAATGCGCACCCTAGATTCCACGAGTGCTAGAACTCAGGGCTTTCAGGCCTTCCAGCAAGCACATTATCACTCAGTTACTGGGTCGGAACTCAATGGTCCACATTTTCCTGCTTTTGTCGAAACTATACTGCTGAGGATTTTTATACTATGAAGAATTAGATATCTCATACTCTAAGGTTTAAAACTATCGATTATGGTTTTTGGAGCCAAATCACAGTCGCCTTCTGTACGTAGAATTAAGATATACTAGACTCAATCAACATATGTGACTGGTGCTAGTCAACTGGTGTTTTTGAATCGGTGATGAAAATTTGACCCTTATGTTATTACATCACCTAATTTTTTGACAATGTGAAAAGCCAACTTTACTACCTGCAGTTTTTATGCTGAAACAAGTATAGACCGATAATAAATGAGGGATAAATAATCACCATTTGAGCATTCAGCTTGCTCTATGTAGTCACGTGGATTTCCACAGGCTGCTCTTTCTGCGGTCATCTTGCCATGTTTGAATGTATATGTGTATAAGTCAATGGGAGGATTGTATGAGGATACTTCAGAACGTCTCTGCTGAAGTTTGATGTTACACCGACAATTTACTTTAGTCTTTCCAAAGACAAATTCACTAACCCAATCTAATAACTGACACTCTTCCATCAAGTTCACATTAAGGAAGCAGCTTCATTCTAGGATGTCATTTTTAGATGTACATCTGAAAAGACAAGACTATGGATGACCTAAAAGGTACAACCACAGAAAACTTAGGGGGAACAAACAACCTACGAATTTTCATAGTTGTGTACCTGTATGCGTCAAACGAAATCTTATTCGACCAATGTACCATTGAATCTGCACTGTTTGCAGTCATGATACTTTTAAAGATGAACTCGATTTTCTAAAAATATTCTTTATTGAAAACCAGTATCCTGAATGGTTCGTTGCTAGATCTATGAAAATGAGATAAGCTACTCATTCCATAATAACCATGATTCCTAACAGGTCTATTCTCATGAATCCACAGTTCAGTGGAAACGCGTTAACTGATATATTGAGAAACCATCTAGCATGTTCATCAAAATAGATTCAATCCTGCAAAACCAGAATAAATTTCTCTATTTACCCGAGGCTTCGATTATGCGTTAAGGATAAACTAGATCCTTTGGCCACTCAGTGGATTATTTCTATATGTGTTTATCAATTCAAGTACCCCTGTAGAGCAAGGTATGTTTAACGTACTCAGCGTTTGCTCTCTAAATTTATCTTTGAAAAACATAAGAGTCTGGTTTAATCAAAGATTAAGTAGATCTCGTCGTTTACTGTAGAGCATTTGACTGATTCTGACTACCCAGTAAGTACAGAAAACAACTTCATTGTCATGGAAGCTTGATGAAAGGTGTATGCCTGAAACTTCTTCAAAGTATAGAGGCTGTGACAACTAATATTTTGAAGCCTGAACGCTCCACTCAGATAAAGTCTGCCCAGTCACCCTACTTGCAGTGAACATCACCTATAAGAACGTTTTACCCTCACAATCTTTTCTTTCACCTATCAACTAACAAAAAACATCATCCTATAAGTCACATTTTGACTTATTGCATTTGCTAGTCCTTTTAATCAAATCACATCACATAAATGAACAACATAATGTTGCATTGGTTTTCAATCTTCTTATCTGAACATCTCTTGTGAAATGCCTATATCACAATTCCAAATGGCAAGCTACACAATGTTGCTTTTAACTACCAAACCTTTTACTCAGCAACGGGTGTTTCTAACTAAATTTCAGAGGTTTGATGGGATAAATGTACTCTATGTCTCAGAAAACCGACCAAACTTGTGTAACGATTCCCATGTGACGTACTCTGGCTCATTAACGAAATCCACAGGTTTCATCTAACTTCTATCAGGTAATGAGATTATAGGTTATTCGGATATTATAGGTGAGGATGTCTCGATGCTTCACAGTAAAAAAGAGAATGGTTTCAAGTTTACTCACATAATACAATACTAATTTTAAAAAATTGGAGATTGTTTTTGCTATAATTTCAGCTGTCGCACAGATCTTTTTCTAGCCAACAAAGACATCGGAAATAAAGTGGAATATCGCCCGATTGGTAGACCGCTTACATCGAGTAAATGATCGATATAAATAAATTACTCTCAAACATTGTCAGAAAGTATTGATGGAAGATGATCTGCTTTCAGAGTATGTATTGGGACGTTGTTCATGCTGTAGTCTGATTTTGTATTTGTCATTTTGATTGTTGACAATTACAACTAAACGTATGTTATCTACACCGACTAGTCACGGGAGACCAACCTATTTCATGCAGTCTAGTTTTCAGTGCAGATCGAATTCTATCGATCATATTTGCAATGTGGCCATCAAGCTAGAAGACTCAGCATGACGGTCACATTAGTAGATGTTAGCTGGTTGGAGGCAACCAGCAGGAAAGTGTCTCTCCAACCTCGATGGAACTAATGTTCCCGCTGAGATTCGACCCTGCTTCACACAGTGTTGTAGTCAACAACGTTACCTCTGAGCTACTCAGGCCGCTGCATTTACAATTACAATTGCCAGTAATTCTCTCCGGGGGGGTTGTGGAGATTTGTTAGTTGATTTTTTAAAGGTAGAATTTCTCATGGAATGACATCAGTCGGAGGAACATTAGGAACCTGGAATCTCTGGACAGCTGTTTCGTTCTAGTATGGGACTCTTCAGCAGTGCGCATCTGTGACTTCGCCCTGCCAGAGATAGAACCCAAGACCTTCAGGTTCCGTGGCCAACACGTTACTATTAAGCTAGCCACTGAGTCGTAATCCAGTAGTCCACATTTCCTACTTCTGTCAGTTCACGATATAGTGCGACCTTCATACAATGTTGTCGTTGTGTAACTGTCCTCTTGTCCGGTTTAGTTGACTCCACTGGTCGCGACTTCTCATTGGAACTTCAGGAATTCACCGGAAAATTTAAGTGTGCTACATTTACTGCTGAACATAGAGGATACAGCACTAGGATACTGAGAATAGTATTCTTGCCCTATGAGACTGGATATTACGCATAGATTACATTTAAAACCATGTATCATGATAGTTGAATGAAGATTACCACTCAGATTTGGACAGTTATTACATTTCAGCGGTCCGTCAACGAGTCTAATCAATAAAAAAGTCACAAAAACCACTTTGCTTAACACTGAACACCCGAAACCCCCTACTGATCATAATCCTATGACCACTTTGTGATCAAATCCAGTTGTCTCTGTCAAAGCAGAGCAACCTAAAAAATAAAAATCTTCAAATGTCCCCTCCTTGACAGGTGCATTTGTGACTCCCTAGTAAGATAGCCAAATGCCTCATCATCGTTACGTGCCAAAGCGTCAATGTAAAGAAGCTGTACATAGAACAGTTTCGATGTTAGTGTATGAGCTGGTGGCAAAAGAGCGGAGAAGATACACACATTGATGATCACTGACAGAACCTAGTTGAGCAACGTAACCCGACCGATAGCTGCTACCTTGACATGGTGGTCTGGCTTGCATATCACAATGACCCAACGAGCTATGCTGGGGGGGACACTTGTTCCCTCGAGGTCCTACTATACCAGAAACGTCTGCTGGATAGTCGTTAGGCGAAAAGCAGTCACCATTGTGATGTAAATTACTACACTATGATAGGGGTCTGAGGGAGAAGTCGTGCCGCTGCTTGCCGGACAAAATGTAACTGCAGTAAGGTGTTTCCCTTGAATGACCAACAGTACCTGCTGATGCTGCCTTCTTAGTAGAAGAGAGGGATAGAAGAGGTCGGCTCCAACAAAAACGCACACCACCATATCCCACGGTCCGCCTGTGTTGGTTCATTTGTCATTTCTTTTCGACCATCCGGCCCCAAAAATACAAAAGTTCAAAACAGGTATACACAAGATACTGAGTGTGAGAGGCCTCAAGCAGATGTCTGACGGGCTCTGTGGTCACACAAACTTCTGTCAGGTACCTTAAGAATAAATAGCCTTCCACGGTGTGGACAGCCTGCAAGTGTCAACCGCCCCCATAACTCTGTCAACACTCAAGTTTCCTCAGACTGCTATCCACCCACCTCTTCATTACCTTCTAATCTTCCTTCACGTCTCCCAATTAACAATACTACATCATCTTTAATTTCCCCTAGTTCTGAAGCTTTGACGACGATCTGAGTTCATAAACAGCATGCTTGGTCTCCTTTAACCACTCTTCAAATTACATATTGGAGCCTTCAATGTCCACACCCTCCGTCAAATTGGTCAACAGGCT